TTCCACTTTTAACGACCATGTTCCAAAGCCGTATAACACGATAGAACGGAATGAGGTGCAGTAAACCCGTCTTTCAATAGGCAGTCGGATATCTCGTCCGTTGACGCCACAGATTACGTAAATTGGCAAATCACAAACGGCCTTCCGTATCCGAGCTGGGATTTTGTCGGCATACAGATCGTTCGGGCTGATACAACTCCCAAGTGAATAAAGTGGTCGGTGCATTCCACCACTTCACTCCTATTAATTTAAAACGTAGTTGTAGACCAGTCCAGGAGAATCATCTCACATTTCACAGGTCAGGAACGCATGTCAAACATACTCAGATTTCTGCTCAACGCGTTCAGAACACCCTGCATTGCGTCAGCGTCTTCACCTAGCAGGACAATATCGTCTGCATACTCTAATACAACCAGATGACCTCTAAGGAGTAGATCAATCCCTATGAAGTCAGACGTACCCACAGCTATGTGCATTAGTGTATCTAAAACGGCATAGAAAAAGAAAGGTGACAGTGAGCATCCTTAAGGAACACTACTAGTTGTCGTCAATTTTTACAAAATCCCTAACAGGGCTCCATAAATTTGAGTAGGGAGATTTGATAAGGATTATATACTCGTTCAGTACTCGCTTCAGTCAGACACTGCCACAACACCTCATGGTCGACAGACTCAAATGCTACTTCCAAGTCAAGAAGTATGGCGAGTGTCGGCCACCGGTAGATATACACGTGTTCCTGCTGAAGGAAGAAAATCTGACCGATGCGCTCTTGTCTAGGTCTGAAACCTCCTTGATTTTCTCCAGTTTGCTGTTCTCGAGCTCCAGTTAGGAGTCAGATAACTAGGGACACTAGGATTGTGGACACAATATTAAGCAAACCAACTTGTCTAGCCATTACTAATCAGTTGACATCCATGGACCAGTGGGAACACGTTAGTCCCATATTAGATTTATATAAACTATGATCCAAATTTGATCGTATAGTATGACAAATATTGGGCGCTGAGTAAAAGGTTGATATTAGATAGAGATTTCAAACGCGCTTTGACCTACACCAATAAAATCTATATCCAATGTCACATTAGATTTGTTTATTTGGTTTATAACACACAGTGATACAGTATTATTTACTTGATGACGTTTCGAGTATAACGTTTTGCTCATTTGATTATGAATCTTATTCGGGAATTTACCCCGCGAAGTGTCGAATTTAAGGGATAATAAACAGAACTTGCGTGACCACACCCTAAAAACTAACTTTCTAGAGATATGAAGAATTCTGGACAATCACCCCTATCGTTCCAGTGACGTCGATTGAAGGAAACAACTTAGCTCTCATACCTGACAACACCCTGCTACTTCTGACAGATAGTAAACGATTAGCGACAGAGGACACTATTGCAAATAAGTATTCTGGTGAAGATGGGTCAGAGAATATGTCCCGTTACACCAAATTTGTCAAAACTGGTTTTATAAGTATACAAACTAAACGGAAGAGAACGGTGTGCATGTGTCGAACGTATCAACTTCCCGAAGTGTATCGCCAGTAAGAGTTACTGAGAGGTGTGCCAAGGATACAAAATGTCTCGTAAGAACTGTGATGGTGAGTATGAAACAAATTGTTAAAAGGTGTGCGAAGACCTTGTCTCCTTGAAGGAGCTGGTGAAATACAGATTATAGATTCAGGTCGAAGCATACAGGTGTACTATTGTAAGTGCTGTACCCCACACGTATGTAGACAAAGCCGTGAGAATGCTTTAAGAGGTGTCCTTGCTGGCCGGAGTCACATAATGAATGGTTTGAAAATCCCTCCTGAGCATTATATTTGGCATTTGGATATTTTCGATCTCTCTGTAGATGCTTAACTAACTCCTCTCTAAATGCATACTTGGCGTCCTCACCTAGCAATCGAGTACAGATGGACCTCACTGCATCCTGCTTCCTGCGACCAATATGCCACAGAAATACACGAGCCCGTGCTAGTAAGTGATCGGAGTCAAAACTAGTCCTCCAGAAAGAACAGCAATCCTCCACCAATCCTCTCCAACGATGCCTCATGGAAATGTGATCTGCCTGTCTCCATCGTTGGATTGAAGTCGTTGGATGCCATGTGACAGTGTTTTCCCTATGACTCAAGTTAGTCCTGTCCAGGAACAATTAATTGTTGGGGCAAAATTGCAACAGACGATCACCGTTGTCGGTTCCTTCCCATGGGATTCCGTAAATACCACCAAGATGCCTTTTCCGACTCGCCCACCTTCCATACTTGAGTGTTAGAGTCACCTGCCATGATGACTGTGTCTGAACGTTTTACTTTCCATAGCAAAGTTGATAGCTTCTCATAGAACTCATCCTTTGCATCATCCAAACTAAAATCGGTGAGTGCGTAGGCAGAGATTACGAGTAGGCATCGTCTAGTCTCACGATCCCTTCTGGTTCTACAGATCCATTCAGTCGAACAGCACACAGACGGCTGTCTACTGGGGTCCAGTCGAGAAGCACACATTCTCCCCGGCAACTCAATGCTATCCCTATACTAGCGAATCAACGAGAGCTAGCCATTCGGTCGGTCTCCGGATGCTCTCAAGGTGGATTTTGAAGATTCCCTACTATGGCCAGGTGAGGTCGATTTAATAACTACACTCGGACCCTGCATGTTTCTCAGAAACACATCACACATCCACGACTAGACATTCCACAGTTTTGGCAAGTGATGCTTGTTGTCTGATTTGGCATAGAGTTCGGGTGTTGAAAGCTCCTACATGAAGTCGATGGTGGCGTCTTACAAGACTAGGAATGAGGGTTCGATGGCTTTCATCGTTGACAATGGTTGCAGAGTGAGAGCTTGCTGAAGGTGTAAGTAGCTTAATATTGCTATCAGGAGCCGAAGGCAAAGTAGAAGACACAGGGGAGAAGGATAGGTTACGTTTGATTGTGTCTTGCGTACTACTGGAAGCGTGCAAGCGGTTGACACTTCCCGGTTGTCCTCATCGTGGAAAGCTTATTCTTCTTAAGGAATCTGAAAGAGATATGTATGACCGCAGATCCAATGGGGCAACTGCTTGAGGGCTGTCATACACAGCCTTTTGTGGATTGGTGTTTTGAGGTTTCGTTACCATAACACCGGATAGGGGAAACCCATATCGCCGGCTTCGGAAGACCGTGTGGCAGGTGTGTTGTTTTGGGGGCCAACCTTTTCTAAGCCCTTCCCCCCCCCCACTTCCATTGAGAAGGCAGCGTCAGCGTGGCACTGGTGGTCATCCAAGGGAGGTGCCTTACTGCTGTCACACTCCATTCAGCTAGCAACAGAACAACTTCACCCTCATACCCTCACTATAGTGTAGGAATTTACACTAAAACGATAACTGCTTTCTGTATTACCCCTATCTAACGGATTTTTCTGGCATGATAGGACCTCGAGGGAACAAGCGTTCCATCAGCATAGCTCGTTGGGTCATTTTGATATGCAAGCTCGACCACTAGGTCAATGTAGTAGCTATCATAGGGGCAATCAGCATCTAGGGAATGTTGAGGTTAGGTGAGGGGTATCTCCACTTACTGAGGTATCTGAAACACATCCTGCCCATGTCGGGCACAACCTACCTCAATGTGGTGCTAGAAGTTGCATCGGTTGGAAAGAAAGCTCAGTGTAGCCAGATCAAGATGAGGCACCAGTCTGTGAAGTCTCTGGTTGTTGGTCTGATTCGTGTACAGAGGTGTAAACTACATGAATGGGTTGCCGAGACCATAGGAATCAATGATTTGAGACTCCTAGTAAAATTGGTCACAATAGGTCAGATAAGTTCACTCTTTGACGTCTTCTAAAGCTTGAATAATCGCACTAACCTTTATCGCTACTTTTTTCTCCTCCTACTTTAATATCAGTATTCTATCCACTTGTTCTTTGCATGCTACTGTGAAGTGCGGCAACTTCGACCGATGTCCTTCTACTCGAATTTCTACTTTGATTTTTCCTGTCTGCCTGAAAGCTCCAGTACATTCCTGACGGATCGTTAGAGGAATGAAGGTAGAAAACCTCATGTATCCCCTGCACGTGGGTTTGCATCTGTAGCTTGAATGGAACTGAACCTAACCTAAAAGCGTTTTTCCCTTCTACATTGTATAATGGAGGTGATTAGTGCTCATTGATGACATGCTTTGAGATTGATACCTCCAAGTTCTAATGATAAACCGTGAGCTACGGGGTCAACAAGTCGGGAGTGAAGCAGGTGGCAACTGAAGGCCTTGGTGGATAGTCGTGCCATATCGCGAATTGACAGATGTAGAAAATTATGGACCAACGGACTGCAACCCGGTGGATGAATGGTAACATGTTCACCTAGAGATCTGAAGGTTTGGAGTTCGATTCTTGTCTGGGTCGTATGGGTGGTTGGTGCTGAGGAGTCCCATACTAGAACAAAACAGATGTCCAGTGCTCCCAGGTTTTCAATGTTTCCCAGCTGTTGTCAGTTCGTAATGAATATAACCTTGAAATAGAAAAATCATCATAAACCTAAAACTATAAATATTTTTGAAAACTGAAAACACAATGTCTTCATTACAGAATGATGGATTATCCAGTCTCCTCATGATCCTAGTCAATTTCTTGATATAAGTTTCACCTAAACTTTTGAAGAGTCAAAAATATTGTTATTCCGAAATCGATATCACTTACTAGTTCATCTTAGAATTTATATTATTATTATTAAGAACTTCGCAACAATTTATTTCTCAGGGAGTTATTACGCAAGAAAAGAGATGCTCATTTTTCCATATGCGATTACTTCAAAACAAAAAACAAAACAGTTATCAATCATCTACAACAATGAATATATAACAATTCCATTAATCTACAACATACTACGAGGAAAGTAGAAAACTTAAAGTCAATAAAGTAATATCTTTAGTCAGGTTTCTGAGATAACTGACTGAACAAACTGTCCTGGAGATATTAACGACAAGACGACAACGAGCAACAATATTATAAAATGACGACTTACTTCTATCAAGCTTGTTTTCGTATACTCTTTCGTTAGTTGGTAACTGTAAATCATGAGCACCTTGATTTTTGCAACTATTTATTCGTTCTGATGAAGCATCTTCATTTAGTTGAGAACAGGCTTCGTATAGATGGTGTTCAGGGCTAGTGTTATGAAATTGACCATGTCCATCGTATGCACCAGAAGCACTCATATTGCAGATGTTACCACCACCACCACCGGTAGATGCACCATCCGAAGCACCAGCAGGGTCATGTCGTAGTTCACAGCCATATAGGGGAGGATTGCTAAAGTATCGATAATTAACACGTAGTATATATGACTGGTGTACACCATTTTTTATCAGTTGGACTCACATTATGTATATATGAAAATAATTTATAGATTGAATGACTACGGTTTGAGACTGAAAACTTAGATTAACTCAGAATGAATCGCCAATGCTTGGCAGACAGGTATAAAGGAATACTATGAATACTAACGGAATATGAACAGTTAAGTACACACACCATATTCACTACATTAATCTTGACTCATCCAGTACTGATGTCTTACACGAAAATATGATAATTTCGAATCAGGAAAGCTAAACAAAATCAGCTCAGCCTAAGTAAGTTGCCGTAAGTTACCATCATATTACCACCCTGCTTTCCATGAAGGTTGGACTATCGTTTTGGAGGAAGATCACATGTGAATGTGGAATAAATCATGCTGGTTCATGCTCTAATATTCTGTTGAAAATAATTCGTACAAATTGTTAAGTTTAGCCACAACTTAAATACTTCACTAAAAAATAAATCAGTAGGTTAATGAATTTAATTACTTGTACATATTGTTCCCAACCAAATGTGTCCCGAAATCAGCAAACTTATCAACTTGTTGGCCACGAGTGGCTTTTAAATATGCCCATGTATCACACAGTTGTCGCGAAAACTGTGTTTGAAGAAGTGCGAAGTGAGCTCTCTCTGCCTGCAGCTGATTTGTTAGGATATTACGTCGGGAGCTCGGAGCGTCTGATTCGTGTAAATATAAAGCTTCATCATCATTAAGTTCATCTGCTCGAAATAATCGTTCATTTGATGGTGCTGTAGTCCATAGAGGATCGACATTCCACGATGAAACTCCAAGACTAGCAGCTCGACGAAAATACTCATTTATTGTTGTTGCAGGATAACAATGACAGTGCAAAAGTGGATTTGGGTGAGCTTCATTTGAATAGTCGAAACCTGAAAATTTAATGCAATAGAGTTAATACACAATTATGAAAATTAATTCAGTATGCGATTTCGGTGCAGTGAAGTGGCTGAAAACGATTTGTCCAATTACAACATCTAAGTGCAAAATTTGTGTTGACTCAGAACAAAAAAGGTTAGAATTAAACACAGGGAAAGTGGTTTAAAAAACGAAAAATCGTCTACACAACAATGTCAATAGAGATACCACTGTTAAGTACACAAACACACACGCACACAACGAATTACATACCAAACACAAAATCTCGAACTTCCATGCCACATTAAAACCTAGAGATAGAACAGAAAAACCAACAGCTGAATGAAAACCGAGCAAAATATACAATATACGACAACTGGTGAATAAGAGATATTTCAATTAGCTAAAAGCGAATATTCTACATGAAAATAGGAAGGTTCAACATTTTAGTTTACCATTCCTTTCTTAAAAATGGATTTATCAGTCATATATGTATGGTCAAGTTCCTTAAACTCTAGATCACAACAGCTCACGTATGCACGGAACAATTAAAAACTTATCATCATTATTAATCTTGTTACTATAATGAACGAAGAGTTTTCAATCTGGTCCTCATTGAGCAAGATAATGAAATTCAAGGGAGTAAAAAAAACAAAGAATAACTTAGAAAGTAAATAAACGATACCATTATAAACAAAAATTACCTGGGCTAAGATCGCAACGACCCGGGTAAACATTTTTAGAACGAGGTATGTATTGCAGAGAGTAACCTAAATTAGAAGGACGACAGGTCGAATGTGTATTCGTCAAGCCAGTTTCCACTGGAGACGCTAATCTATAATTGTTTTGAGGATAAGACAGTTGCACATGACTAGTTGAACGCTCCATTAGCGGTATATGAATTGGATCAGGTGACCTTGCATTCATTGGTTGAGACTGTTGTTGTCTTAAACCACGACCATGGTCTGAGTGACGGAGTGATTGGCGTTGTGGATGTTGCCAACGGTGAGTAACAATGGGTGAAAGAATCGCAGCTAGCGATGAACTAGGATAAACGTATTGACTAAAATCCGATTGATCATGTGGTGCATAAGGAACCTGATGTTTAGGTGCAGAATATGGTGAATGCTTCAATAAGTTTGTTGGTGCAGCATAAGGGACTTCGTGTAAACATGGTTGAGGTTGAGAACACATGTGACATGCTGCTGGAGGATGATATCGAGTTGATTTGCCAACACAAGTCCATGGACTATGACTAATATGCGAAACATGAGTTGGCTTAATCCTGGAGATGGGATAGAAAATTCCATCATTGTGAAGAGTTGGTAGACTACCAGGTGCATTCAAAAACGGAGTATAAGATGGCTGCTGTTCCCGGAATGTAGACTCTTCAACAGATCTGACTGGCACTTCATATGTTGTGCAATGGTCACCAGACCACAGCGGCTTCATGGCAACTTCACATGGCCATCCGTGAGGATAAACGGAACCAGTATTTGCTGCCAGATAAGACGGATACGAAATCACCTGAGTCCAGAGAAAAAGGCAAGGATCAGAGAAAAAACTCAACAGGAAAGAAGCATCACTCAAATTAACAATGTTCAGAAACTACATCTTAAAAATAAGTTGCATTAACAGGTGTTTATCACCATAAAATACATCTTGCTGCTCTACACAGTTACGGTGCATGCACAGGATATGATAGTTAAGTACAGTTTACTTTCAGTGCCAAAAATATTCCTTCATAATTCATATTACGTGCAGGGAAAAACTTGTAATCCAGTTTTACAATTATAAAGAGATAAATCAATATTTTCGTCAGCTCAACTATGTAAGTTATTTTGGTGTAGACAACAAAAGAGAAATAATCGTTAGGAAGTATCATGCAACGCAACAGACAGTATGATCTTGAGGATCTAATCTTAAGGCTGCATATAGTGATCAGTTAATTCTGTTGACATACTCTCCTAGGCTTTTTGCAACCAGACCCTCATTGTTGATATATATATATATATATATATATATATATATATATATATATATATATAGAGAGAGAGAGAGAGAGAGATCAGCTGTCCGTGGTCCCAACCTGCTTTAATTCATCTGTCCACAACTAATACTTGTTCGCTGTAATCTGTTTAATTTACCCCTTCGTATATAAAATTGAAAAGATAGTATACATTTTTCTGGAGGAAATTTATTCGTAAATTAAAGTCATTATTAGTGCTGCCAACCACAAATATACTCATGGTTACTTCAAGTAATGGCAAATTACGTTCAGTTGTAGTTCAAACTGAGAATATTTTATGAATGATAGAAGTGCACTGCTACAGGAACTACGAGTTCACCTCCTCATGACGATAGTAATCATTAAGGGGTAACCAAACGAAACGATAATCAAGTATCAAAGTGATAACATGAAAGTGGTACTCAGACCTCACATGTACTACGTTTCGTTAACTTCTGACAAACAACAAAAAAAGTACTAGGGTGAATCATAATACTATGAAACTGCTAATTGAAGTATAATCAAATCAACAGTAAGAATGTAAAACACTTGTCAAACAATGCACTTGATTTGCACAACATGCGGAGAGAAACAGTAAGAAATAACAGGTTGACTCACTTTTTGGTTGGAATGATTTGCAGCAACGAAACGACCCCCGTTTGGGTCTGTTAAAAAACTATTGGATTCTGATGGGCGAAGAGGTACCTGGGGGAAATGATCTGCACGCCGATTAACTGTGATTCCTGAACGCTTAACATGAGGAGTCACAGGAACAGATGCTGAACCCATACCAAGTCTTTGATCAGAAGAATTCGGATAGGCAGAGAACGATTCTACTGGAACGTTTGGATAAACCGTATCCACATAATCAGGTTGTTCTCGTCTATTGGCACGCCATCATTCCAAGATTTTTCATGATTTACTGAGTTCCTATCTGAAGTTTTCGCTGGTGGAAAGAAAGAATATTCATCAAAGTAATCTTCACATTGACCATGATTTCTAGTGTCGCTTGTAGTTTTATCACCATCTTCAACAACATTGGAACCAGATTTCCGATCGTCATCTTCATCATCTACAGTTTTTACATATAGGCACACCAACAATTCTAATATCCTCCTGATTACCCTCCTTCATAGAACTGAAAGCGACTTTGGAGTTGTACTCATTAGGTAGGCGTTGAGAGGTATAAGAGTGAGGTGAGTCAGCATCATAGATATCCTTTAAACGACTTTTAGCGGGCAAATGGCGATTATCAGAAGTGTATGACTTTTGTTTTTGACGATGTCTTAAAGCTTCTTCTAACTGAGCACATCGAGCTTCTAAAGCTATTTTAGCTTCCAAAGCCTCAGCTTTCTCAGCACGTGCTTTGGCAAGCCGTGCACGTTCAACCTATCGTGAGGTGAATTGAATTAAAAGCAGAAGTTATTGAAAATAAACAAAAAAATAAAGTCCGATGTAATATTTTTGTTCCACCTTACTCGCGCAACTGAAAAAGTCTTTCTAACTGAGTTGCTTATTCACTCACCTGTATTACTCCACATCACGGTGTAATTGGATGATCGTAAAGGTTACCACCTTCTGTACCTAAACTTGAATATTAACCTGAAAACTTAATGTCAGATTCATACTCTTGAAAATGATCTTCCTAGCAAAATTGAAACGTTGAGGAGTAATACAAAATATTTATTTATTTTGTTATTTGTTCTAATATACTACGCCGGGATTACACAAGTAAAGATACACCTTATACAATGAATCATACTAACTTGGTGTCCAAGTTTTTTCAAACCATCCAGTCCATTGTTGGTCAGGATACCTTCAAAATATAAAGTATTCACTAAATGCATGTAAATTACACCATGTGAAATACATGTCAATCCAATATATACATAGTGGAATAAAATGATTTACCTCTCGTCTGGCCCTTTCTTCCCTTGCTTGAGCTCTCATCTGCTGAACTTCAATACTGTCAGGTTGACGGCGTCTCATAAACAATGAGTGGTTACCAGCGCACATAGACATGACTGTTTTAGCTTGATTGGGATCCGCTAACCAAACTTCAACAACGCTGATTAACACAGTCGCCGAGTTTGATTGAGATGGATTGTAAGAAGTTTTGGATGATAGTGACACCCCAATATTATTTTCCAAAGGTTGAGCTTGAGGAACACGAAGACAGTTTACACTACTACCGATAACTGCCAACTCATTAGCCGAGTACCGAGATGATTTGGCAGATAAACCAGGAATGCAACGTGAACCTAGTTCGAAGACTAAATAAGAACAATAATACTAGTGACTTAAATTTCAAAACAAAAAGAACATGATTTATGTAAAAACAAACTTACTATAGAAATGCGAAATTCCCCTACTCCGTACACAACCTTTATTATGGAACAACCTAACGGTCTGTAAGCAACTGAGTAACTACCAAACCAAGTAAATGCAATAATTTGAAAATTATTGCTGATTAACAGCACATGAGTCCAAGGAAAACAAAGTGGCTACTACGACTTTTAGCTTCCATCACTGACTGATTTAATAGCGAGACCTATAAAAAATCAAACACATATCATGAATGTTCTACGACTCTCAAGACAGACAGCACTGAACAACTAATTTACCACAATAATATGTGGTATCTAGTTTTGAACATGCAATATTGTAGTTATGATAAACTGGAAGAGTTAGTGTTGAGAAAATTCCAGCAAGTATTATTGTCACTTATGTGAAAAAAAATTCACCTTACCTTTAGCACGACCTTTCGAAGCACCAAGCTGCTGTACAGGATCACATGAATCAAACCTGGAAGTGCCTCGGGGAGATGAAAGGTTAACAGAAGTATCCAGCATATTCGGAGAGATTGGTGGTACGGACGGCACAAGACGAGCTGAAATGGGAGTACTTGGCAAACTTGCAGCAGATGTACCACTGCCACCAGCGCTGGAACCTACAGTAAGACCAACAAAAGTTTGTCCACTGACACTTATTAATGGACTTCGACTGGGTTGGCTTACTCTTAGTGAAATAACAGCCTGTCCGCAGGTTTCATTCAGTCCTGTAGGCATAGAAGTTGCAGCTGTAGTGGAGGTACTGTGACTAGGTTTACTTGTCCCACGCCAGGTACTGGTCAGCTTTATCGTGAACTAAAAGGTGGAGTAAATATTTACTAAGAAACATTTACACAATACATGGTAACAACATTCTAATAAATAAACTGTTCATAATTCTGAAGTTTGATGATACTAGGGGTATTACCACTTTCCCGTCAAACTGTTTAGTTTTGGCATGTAAAAAGATATGAACATATAAATTATTCATCTTCACAGAAGAAACAGACCAAAGGTTGAGTTTTATCAAAACAATCAGAAATACATTATGAGTTTGATATTTCTTATTACACCTGTGGTTCGTTAAGCTTTGCAATGAGGGTGACAGCTGGTGGATTGCTAGTCCAAGCGTTAGTTTATCTACCCACATCTAAGCAGCCAGATAGTAGCATCAGCCCTTACACAGGAAGATTGTCATTAGCTCCTCATCTGGTAAACATGGTTTCTGAGTTGCGTTATTATTCTCTCATTGATAAGAGTTAGATGTGAAACTTGACATGTTTGGTGCCTTTCTTTCAAAAAATTAGATTTTCTATATATGGTCATGGAGGTTAGTTCTCCATCTGACTGCATCTTATGATAATAAAATGACACTATTTCATAAATAATTTTCACTTATTTCTGCATAGAATAAATTTCGTACAAATCTTGCAAAACTAACACATACGTAATGCATAGTATTTCCTACACAAGATATTTGTAAGGTGAAGCTTGCAGTAACACACGATCGACTGAAAAAATATGAAAACCATAGTTTATTCGGTCCTGCATAACCAAACTTCGAACTAAACAATCATTTGTGTCAAGTTCATTATTAAAGAAGTAAACAAAATTATACGTTAAACTGAATTTGACCTGACAACAGTGCTCAAGTTGAACAATGCATAACTTAGACAAGGGTAAAATGCTTGAACTATTCTAAATACGGATATCTGACATCACGTACTCACTGAAAGTATATCACCCCAGAACCGGTTATTATCATTTCTCCGATAGTAGACACATGACCAAAGGTTGCAATGATTTATCGTCAACAAACTTCGCTCCTTTACACTACCTCAGAAACTACATTATGTAGCAGTAGCTGGGTCATAAATCAACTCTCTTGATAGACGAGTAGGGGATTAACTAATCAAGACGATAGAATTAAAGGAATATCGACAGAATTCCAGTCATGTCTGTAGATGCTGCGCATATCGAAGTTAATACAACTAATCAACGAAAAATAACCTCGCCTGGTTAACTAGTTTACTAGTTACTAGCCGGTCCTAAGCCCGGGTAAAGAGGGAAGGTTGGGCATAGGGCTAGCAACCCTACCCCGTAAAACAAATCTAACCGCTAAAGAAACTTCAAAGCACAAACAAAATATAAAAAATGAAAACAAACTTATTCCCCGCTGGAATCGGAGAGGCGAAATGACGCCAGTTGGTGAAAGCCTTCGGGAAGCCAATTGGCCGATGTGTCTTCTCTCGATGAAAGCGAAAGTAAACGTGGGGACATGGAATGTCCGTACGATGTTTGAACCCAGTAAGGCAGCCCAGATTGCAAAGGAGATGAGAAGGTATAACATAGAAGTGCTTGGAATTTGCGAAAGCAGATGGAATGGGAGTGGACTCTCCAAACTGTCAACTGGAGAATCAATAATCTACTCCGGTCACCCAGACGCCAACCACGAGCACACTGAGGGAGTGGCTATCATGATGTCCTCAAGAGCATCGAAGGCTCTCATGCAGTGGGAACCAATCTCCTCCAGGATCATGACAGCAAGATTCAACTCAAAAGGAAGAAAGGTCACAATCATACAATGTTATGCACCTACAAATAATGCAGAGCAAGAGAAAAAGGAGGAATTCTACAGACAACTTCAATCAACACTGGACAAGACGTCAGTTGGCGATATCAAAATTCTAATGGGCGACATGAATGCCAAACTGGGAGGTGACAACACAGGAAGAGAACTAACCATGGGTCGAGAGGCGCTAGGTGAAATGAATGAGAATGGAGAATTGTTTGCAGAATTCTGTGCATTCAACGATTTGGTGATTGGAGGCAGTGTGTTCAGGCACAAGGATATCCACAAAGCGACATGGACTTCACCAGATGGACACACTAAAAATCAAATCGACTTTATCTCAATCTCAAGAAAATGGAGACGCAGTCTACTTAACACAAGGTCAAGAAGAGGAGCAGATGTAGGTTCAGACCACTATCTAGTGCAAGGAACCTTCCAAATCAAGTTAAAAGCCTTCAAGGAAGCTGGTGATAGACCTCAATTCAAGTACAACACTAGGAAACTGAAGGATGAAACTACAAAGGAGATCTTCAAGGCAGCCATCAAGACAAAATGGGAGACATCGAGGGACATCCCTGAAGAAACCTGTGTGGAAGAACATTGGAAGTCTTTGAAAGCTATGTGGAAAGAAACCTGCACAACAGTATTAGGAAGGAAGAAGAAAGAAGACAAGGAATGGATCTCGACGGATACCTGGAAGCTGATAGAGGAGAGGAGGATGGTGAAGCAGAAGATAAACCAGTGCAAGGATGCTCAACGACAAGAGGAACTGAGCACAATGTATAAAACACTGGACAAAGAAGTGAAGAAGAGTGCACGCAAAGACAAAAGACACTTCTACGAAACACTGGCAAGTGAAGCAGAACAGGCTGCAGGTAAGAGAGACCTGACGACATTGTATCAAATAACCAGGTTGCTATCAGGGAAGAGACCAACACAGATGAAACCAATAAAAGATGAAGAAGGAAATTTAATTACAAAAGAAGAGAAACAGAGGAAACGATGGGCCGACCACTTCAAGAAGCTCTTGAATCGACCACCACCTGCACTTCGTCCAGAAATACCACCTGCAGCCGCTGAATTACAAGTGAACATAAATCCCCCAACGAAAATGGAAGTCCTGAACGCCATAAAGCTACTGAAATGCGGGAAAGCAGCAGGACCAGATGGAATACCGCCAGAAGCACTGAGAACAGATGCAGAGACAACAGCGGACATGCTCACACCACTATTGCAGAAGGTGTGGAAGGAAGAGAAGGTACCGGACGATTGGAAGAAGGGTTACCTTGTCAAACTGCCGAAGAAGGGAGACCTCAGTGCTTGCAAGAACTGGCGCGGAATCACTCTCCTGTCCACCCCAAGTAAAATATTAAGCCGCATCATCCTGGAGAGGCTTAAAGACGCACTGGATTCAAAACTGCGACCGGAACAGGCAGGCTTCAGGAAGTACAAATCATGTGCTGACCAAATTGCAACACTTCGTATCATCATAGAACAGAGCGTAGAATGGCAATCAGCTCTCTACCTCAACTTCATCGACTTTGAGAAGGCCTTTGACAGCGTCGACCGAGAAGTAATTTGGAAACTGCTTCAATACTACGGAGTACCGCAAACCTTTATCCGCCTCATTCAACAACTATATGAAGATGCCACATGCCAAGTAATCCACAATGGGAAGCTCAGTGATGCCTTTGAAGTGAAGACAGGAGTGAAACAAGGTTGCCTACTATCCCCCATGATATTCCTTATTGTGGTGGACTGGATCATGCAGCAAACAGTAGGCAGCGAGAAGAGGGGGATACACTGGACGACGGAAAAGAACCTAGAAGACTTGGATTTCGCCGATGACTTATGCCTAATGTCACATAAACTTGAAGATCTGCAGGCAAAAACTAACAAGTTGACAGAAGAGGCAGCCAAGACGGGACTTCAGGTGAATATAGAGAAGACAGAAGTGATGAAGATACCGCACCACCACCATCAACAACAACAACAAACTCCAATCACCGTCAACGGGAGAAACTTGAAGGAAGTAACCTCCTTCACTTATCTAGGAAGCATTGTTTCAACTACAGGCGGGACGGACGAGGACGTCAAAGTCAGAATCGGAAAAGCAAGACAGGCGTTCATTAGCCTGAAACCAGTGTGGAGATCTTCTGCACTCAGCATCTGGAACAAGATACGGATTTTCAACACCAACGTCAAGTCAGTGCTCTTGTATGGCTCAGAGACTTGGCGCGTCACGAAAGGGATTTCCAATAAACTACAGACATTCATCAACAACTGCTTACGCTCGCTGCTGAAGATCAGATGGCCAGAAAAAATAAGCAACAAGGAACTCTGGGAACGAACCAACCAAGAAGCTATCACGCAACAAATATGCAGGAGGAAGTGGAGATGGATTGGCCATGCACTGAGAAGGCCGACTGAGGACATCACGCGTCAGGCCCTCGAGTGGAATCCCCATGGGAAGCGACGAGTTGGACGTCCGAGGGTGACATGGAGGAGGTCATGCGAGGAGGAAATGAGAGCTTCTGGGCTGTCGTGGAACCAGGTTCAAAAGATCTCAGAGAACAGAGGTCACTGGAGGCGTGCTACTGAAGCCCTATGTTCCACTAGGAACCCAAGGGACTAATAATAATAATAATAATAATCAACGAAAAAAACAGAAGGCACTCAGCAACCCTGTGCACATTCGTGCAGAGTAGGTGATAAGTGATACCTAATACCTGGCTCCCCAACTTCCAGTAGGTGTTCGAACCCATGACCCACTGGTTGAGAATCAACAACGTCAACGAAGTAGATCCATTGATTTCTACTGATTACTAATAGCAAACTGCAGAAAGAATGTAATTCACTCTTTGCACTTTGAAAACGCAAAATATATATTTAATCTCCTACATGAATAGACGACCAGATTTCACTCTCTTGTCTACAAATAGATAAATCAATATAGAACCAGACGCACAAGCGTATCAGTTCACAAGTTGCCACGCTTCACAGTAGAATGCAAAAGACTAGTGAGTGGCAAAAGAATGATTGTAAAGAATACAAGAGAGAGAAGAAATGAATGAAGATTAGTGAATGTTAAAACCTCAAAGATGATAGTGCATACATTTGCGATATTGTCCAATTTAGGACCATATCACTACGCATTTCAGACTATTTTCGCCTAAATAAGTCGATAAAAAGATTGATTTCAATGTATGAAAAACTATTACTTCAGTAAAATAGATCACTCATTCTCCAACCTTATTGTGTAGAAAAATTAATGAGACTGAGTAAAAGATGTTTTTATTCAGCACAAATGTCGATCTTGACACATATGATATTTCTACTGAACATTATGGACCGAACAGCAGAACCAACAAAATAAAGATATAATAATCATAGTAATACGGCAGGTGAATAAACAAATATTTAGTTTATAGAACTTTAGTGACTTCATTCCTCAACTGAAGGCTGACAGGAGTGCAATTTAATGAAAATGTGCTTTCTACATAACTAAGCACATTTGACAATCATTTTCTCAGTCCAATTTCATACCAAAGAAAATGAAAGGAGTGATTATGTTACCTGAATGCATACAGATATGTTGCAGGAAACTCATTAAAAATTAATGTGAAGATAGAGAAAAATAAAATAGTTGACTGGAAATATATTTCTGCTTTGAAGTTATCTTACCTTGCGTTCCCGGTATGAAACGTTTTTTATCAAATTCCAAGGAAACGTAAACTGTGGTGGATCACGTTGGCACTTTCCGTACAACTGAAGACCTGCAGCTGTAACACCAAGCCAAGCATTTGTGTGGCACTTATTCTAGGAGACCATAATGAAAAAAAATAACACACCATCATTAGGTTTTTCTAACCATATAACTTAATCTCAGTTAATAAATATGCCCCACCAGCTTAAAACTGCTTACGAGTCACAGACTGATCAAGTTGAAATTGATAGGTAGGATGTCTTAAGGTAATTTACCGAAAATAAGAGTAGAGTGTAATCATAACACCTTCATATGATTATGTGCAATAATGTATATTTGAAGCATCATTCATCAAATAATACTGTTTAACATGTTTAGTTTCGAGTAAAGTACTAAACCCCGGAGGAATACTGACTAGGTCTTACAACAAGATCCAACCGTATGACTGCTGACAACTTCAATATGCAATGCGAATACATAGGAACGACATGGGTGTCTAGTGAATGTCGAATTCGATAAAGTGAAGAATGACTGCACCCAAAGTCTGTCAACAATAGTTTTTTTGTGCAAAGACAAATTAAAATACGAGATAGTTCGCACACAATACATGCCCGAATGTAAACAATCTTACTCAGGTAGAATATCTAGGATATACTCTAAATAGGGATGGACGAACATAATCAATCAACAACGCAGAACCAGGCGTTACTACGTAACGGTCCAAGTTGCCACGACTTATATCAGTACATCAAGCGAGAACGCAGTGAGCTGAAGGAAAAAATAAATAACTTGTTAAAATGGTAAAAATAGAGGAATAAGAATATACGTAATTCAATATGACGGTTAAGATAATGATGTGTGGGTATATCTGCGCCACTGACATCAATACTCATCCATATCACAAACAGTCTCTCATTACTGGTTTCGGTTGTAACGAAGACCCACACCGACAAGTCTGCATTTCACAACACGGCTAAGACCAATAGTGAAAGATTGCATGTAACGATACCGTGTCTTAGTGTAACAACCCTGAACCATTTTCCAGCCTGAAAGTGCTTCAGCTAACATTGAGCTACGAGACAGATGGTGACTGGGTATACTTAACACATGTACGAGCCATCTCAATCGATGATGGTTCACAAACTCACCAACTGACTTTCCTCTCTTCTCTGACTTTTGTATTACTGACGTGTTCAACGCACCTAACCACTTCACTACCTACTGTTAGACAGGAAGCCGCTGAAGACCAGTCCCTGAGCAACAATTTTCATTTGCGTGGAAAGAAATGCATTCCACTCTCACACTGTCACTTAAGGTGTCAAGAAAACTCTGTATCTTATCAGCGTCTTCACCTCCCATCCATGCGAGTTCAGACGATGAGAAGGAGACCTCAAT